TCGCTTTAAATGCAAATGAGATTCAGAAGAGGGCGGAGCTACAGACGAGCTATACAGTGCATCAGTATAGTGACAGATGTAAAACAGCAGTGTGTGTGTTGTCAGTGTTGTGCATGTGTGCTTCAGTGTGAGTGTGTGTTCATGCTTCTGTCAGTCTATGTCGCTCCTGTCGGTGTTCATCTAGAACTCCACATCTAGAATCCTCTTAGTCTATGCTGACATCATCTTCAGCAGCTCAAACACTCTCATGGCTAATGGACAGACGGCTGCTTCTCACTCAGGCCTGCTGGACATGCTAATGAGATGAAGACTAGTGGGCGGGGCTTTCCCCCTCTGATGACACGTACAAAGGGAGAATGTCAATCACAGTGATTCTGCAGACTGTTTTCGTTATGTTTCCCAAGTGAGAGCAACAGAGCAAGGAAACATTTACAGTATTTTCTTATAATAATTTTTTTTTATTGTGGGAAAAGGTGAATTTATTTTAGCTCCTTTAAGAAAGTATTTTATTTTGTCTGGCTCCAGAACACACCACTGTTATACAATGACTTGCCTAATTAACCTAATTACAATAGTGAAGCCTTTACATGTCACTGTAAGCTGAACACTAGTGTCTTGAAGAATATCTAGACTAATATTATGTGCTGTCATCATGATGAAGAGAAAATAAATCAGTTGTTAAAAAGTATTATGATTAGAAAACGTGTTTAATATCTTTTTATTGTACTGTACATCTGCTTCATTCACTCATTTGACATGTTTTATAATAATGTTGTGGTGTAGTGTGGCTCTGTTCAGTAAATAGCTGCGTCTCAAGTCTCTCCAGTGTCTTTAGCCCCTTTCACACATACAGACCTTTCCGGAAAATTGCCGGCAATTTTCCGGAAAGGTTGTATGTGTGAACAGGTCCTTTTTGAAAATACCGGTAAATTCGTTCTGGCTATTTTCCGGAAAGAGAAGTTGTAACATTACCGGCAATTTGCCGGAATGCTGCGCTGTGTGAATGCAGAAGGAAGATTCCCGTAATAAGCACGTGCACGTCTAGAACGTGCTGAAGTGAGACGTCTGCTTTAGCCAATTACAACAGTCAGACGCATTTACGTCCGCGCGGTTTGTGAGAATAAAAACCTTTGAATATTTTTCCAGACACATTTAGCTGCTAGAAGTTAGTCAGATCACGTTTATATGTTCTTCTTTATGCCAACTGTGTAAATAATCATCGATGAGATGCTTATGATAAGCCGTTGTTTGTTTACCTTCAAGCTTTGCGTGTGCCTGTGAGCGCCTGCACACGCACTTATTATGAACATCTCGACATGCGAAAGTGATCCTGCGAAAGTTGTTCACAATATTGATCATCCACAGAGTTTGTAATGTAGTCAAATGTTTACAAATACAAGTGCAGCCGTTTACAGCTCATTTGTGGTGAATGATGTCAGAATTTACCGCTATTTTGGAATGGATGTGTGAATGCTCTTTTCCGGAAAATTTCCGTAACGTCCTCGCCTGTGTGAACAGCGCTTTTTTCAATATACCGGTAAAGTTGTTCCGGAAATTTTCCAGATATTTACCGGTATCACTGTGTGAAAGGGGCTTTTATCTGGTTCCCTGTTTGCATTCTCATGACACCCGTTTAAAGATTGCAGACATGATAACATACCAGGCAAACAGATCAGATGTGCATTTGTAACTTGGTGCACTGAAAAGTATCTGCGAAATGTAAAAATCTAAATGTGTAATAATTACCACAGATAATATTAAGTGATCTTATCAGAATAAACAAATTAAAATAGTTTAATTTCTATCTTCTACTCAATTTTCTAGTCAATACTGCACTCAATCTAAATTATTAAACTATAATAATAATCCTCTAGCATCTCAGTGTCACTAAAAAAGCCTTCCCACATTAAAAAACTAGAGTAATTTTGGTAAATAGCATATTTACTAAAAAGCATAGGTGCCTTTACACTATGGTAAAGTTTATTATACTGTATATGTTGTAGTACTTACAACTCCTTGTTAATAAATGCTCCACACACTGTAGTATAAACTATAGTAAACCAATAAACTGTGATAATACTGTAGTATACTTAATATTTACTACAGTAAACACCCAGAAGTTGTAGAAAAGCACAGTATTGGTTGTTGTGTTACCATAGCAACTGTAGAATCACAACAACAGATGAATTACAGTAATTGTTGTGTTGCCATAGCAACTAGAAAAACACCACAACAGATCAATAACTATAAGTGTTGTGTTACCATAGCAACTGCAAAATCACCACCACAGATCAATTACTGTAGTTGATGTGTTACCATAGCAACTGAAGAATCACCACAACAGATCAGTTACAGTAATTGTTGTGTTACCATAGCAATTACAGAATCCCTGCAAAAGATCAATTACTATAGCTGATGTACCATAGCAACTGTAGAAT